CTCGAAAAAGAAGTCAATAGGGATATAGGCCTATAACTATTGATAAGATTTTTATCACCATTTTTGTATATAGGTTTTATCTCAGAGAATTTTAGCCTATCAGGATCTATTTATTATGTGTGTTAAGGATGGGGTAATAAAATGTTTACAACTTTTTAATACTTTGATAGAGATCTCATCATACCCAGTAGAATTGGTCATTTTCAATTTGTCTATAATTTTTTTCAATTTCATTTGTTGTAACATAACTATAACTGATCGGAAGGAAAGTGGTTGTAAATGTATTAGTTAAATATTCATTAGCCTTATTACATACGTCAAGTATATCACAATATTTTAGTGTACTTTTGGTAGTGGTCTCCGCTATTGATAAAAAATATTTATTTAAGGATTTGGCAATCATTTTAGTATTGATATATGATCTATCGGGAGCACTCAAGTTTGGTATAATTTCATGATAGGATTTCCTCCTGGTCAATGATTTAACAATATTCCAAGTGGTTTCAGTTCTATTATTGGAGTTTATAATAATATGAACGTTTGACTTCCATAATATTTCTAGATAGATCTTTACAGAACAGCTTACAGTAACTTTGTATATTAGGGTTATTACTCTCCTTACAGCTTAAATACAAATGTCTTTTTATGCTACATTTAGTTTTAATACTAGATGATATCCCTACTTTAGTATTAGTATGGGGTCTATTGAGACATTTGGGAAAACTCTTACAAAACTGTCTAAAGAAAATGTTTAAGAACGCGTTGAACACAGCGTTCACTTCATTATTATCAAATACTTCATTCCAAAGTTCATTATGAAGATTATAATTAAAATTTAACAAGGAATATTTGTCAATTTTTCTTATCATTCGTGAACATTTAACATAAGGGGGCATAGTAATATCATGGATCAATATTAATTTGACATCATGATCAGACATACCATTATACATAGGTGATAATTTAAATCTTCCCATTCTGGAGTAATCAATAACTATATTATCAATAGTTGATGTAGAAGTATTGGTTATTCTAGTGGGGAAGTTAACAGTACTAAAGAGATTGTAAGAGTTTAATAGGGAATTGAGTTGATTCCTTTTATGATTATCAGTGAGGTAATCAATATTGAAATCGCCACATATAATGAATTCAGTTTTTGATGTGTATAATGATTTGAGCACCTCATCCATTTTGATAATCATCATCATCAGTAATCTGTCAGACGACAGGTCCACAGTCTCTTCCAAAACCATTCCTCCACTTAATTCGATCTAGAGCTTTCTCCTTCAAATGACAGTATCCTCTTCTGTCCCCAAGGTGATCCCGCATCTTCTTACGTCTTCTTCCTCGTCTTCTTGTCACTTCTATCCGCCCATCTATCTTTCCTTCGATAACTTCTTTTAGAAGGCAGTTTCTGCGT